GGGTGGATATAGCTCGCTGGCAGCCTCACACCGAGGACCTATCCACATCATCATTTACCCAGAATGCTTTGTGTGTAAATAAAATGTCCCAGTTTAAAAATGATAAAAACTGAACATCCTACAGTATTTTTTACAGTCTTTATTTTACAGTTAAAATATATGTTTATTAAATAAAGTCTAATGTTACAACTAATCATGGATCCCTTTAAAACATTTTTTTGTTACATTTTGTTTTGTTTTTTTGCTCCCACAGTTTGAAAGAGGGATGCTAGGATGTGTTCTGCTGACCGTATCAGCGGTTCTCTCTCGATCCATTGAAAGGTAAAATAAGTTTTATTCTTCCTTCGCAGAATAGATCCTTAGACTTCCTTCAGGCTCAGGTCTCCCTTGATAAAGAAATCTGGGATTTCCCTGGTTTTAAAGGTTAAATTAAATACAGGTAATAAAAAAAGCTTGTAACAGCTGTTATTTCTTTTATATGTTCTTAGAATAAAAGAGGACATGGACGTGCCCACCACCACACTGATTGCTGCCCATGGCTACTGCACTCAGGTGTGAACATTAGACGTTAAATTCATTTTAAAACCAGAGTTAGGAATTCTTTGTACAAAAGAGGAGGTTTTTTTTTTTGGTGGTAACACAAGCCTGCTCCAGTTGCTGTCAATATTAGATGCTTAAAATATATGCCAGTGCTTACAGTCTGTTTGGGTTCACCAGGAGCTGGTCAATCTGTTGCTTTGTGGCAGAGCAGCTTCTAATGTGTTTGACAATGACATGGAGCTGGACTCAGGCAGTGGTGACATGACTCTGCTCAAGGGGATCAAAGACCCCTGTCAAGTTGGCCTGCTGTCCCTGTTTGAACATTACAATATCTGTAAGGTAAGCAAAGTTKATGTTTCAACTGCAGGGTCAGACACAGAAACTGTTTTTTTCTTTAGCTCACAGCACAGAAAAGACTAGTCTTTTATGTTGGTCCAAAACTAAAACTAGATTAGTGAGAAATTTTGACAATATGATTTCACTTCAAAAACACAGTCAGCAACAAAGAAAAAAACAAAACAAAAAAACCCACCAGTTTATTTGGGAAAAAAAGTGATTTTGTACTGATTTATCATATAATGGAAGACAAACAAAAGTATTAAAGTAACCATCTAAATGTAATTATTGTGGTAAGGTAACAAGAATAGTTCACAGGATAAAAGGAATTCTCCGCTCTTCTTCATCCTGTGAAGGGATAATAAGATGAAAGACGTGTATGAAGCCAGTTGCATGCACATCATGGTCTTGATCTTTTAGCTGAAACTATAAAGGCCGACTTAGTAACATGTGTGCTGGTTGGAGCACAGGCTGTGATATAAACTTACATGCTAACAGGCTAAAGCGCTGCGCTTTATTGTTTTTTATTTAAGGTAGGAACTTACCTGAAGAGTCCCTCCTTCCCCATCTGGGTGGTGTGCAGTGAAAGCCATTTCAGTATGCTGTTCGGCCTGCAGAGGGCGCTGGTGACCAATCCGGAAGGAGGTGTGGAGTTTGACCTTTATTACTATGATGGACTGGCCAATCAACAGGAGGAGATTCGCCTCACTGTTTGTATGTAACCACACTTCATTTGAGTGTCTGTATATGGAATATGTTTGTAGTTTTGTGACTTTTTGTTTAGATCCAAAGACGGTTAATAGAAAATGTACTTACATTTTGTTACTGGTGCTTTTTATATTCAGGTGGTAGCATTTCTAAATAAACAGTAACAATACAGTATATGGTTTACTTCACTTTTCTGTGACACCTGATGTATTTATTATATTTTTGTCAGCATGACATTTAATTGCATTGATTATAAATTTGTATATTTTAAACCAAAAATGCAAATTGTGTTTTCAGCTGTTGGCAAATCATCTAAAAGCTTTCAGGAAGTTGATTCTGATCTTATTCCTCCTCTCGAGCTTTGTATCCGAACAAAGTAAGGAACTTTTATTTATTTATTTTTCAATCAAAATGTGTTCAAAACACTTACCAACTTAGTTTATCTAATACACAGTAGGCT